AGAGCCAAAATATGAACTAAAGCAGCCAGGCTCCAGGCCAAATTCTGAAGCCTATGCATCCAGTCTTCTGGGAGAGATGAAGATTGGGGTAGTGCCAGATGAGGTGGGCCACTAGCTGGGGGACACTTGTAGACATCAGACAGTGGGGCTATGCATCTGCTGCCAAGAGAGACCAAATTAGCCTTCCCAAGAGATGGGCGTGTCCACCGAAAAGAAAACTGGAGTTAGCCTAACTCACTGTGTGCACTGACTGAGTCTCTGGACCAAGAAAATACTCAGAGGCCAGGTTCCTGATCCTTCTCCCGCCCAGTATGGCCTTCCCCTAAATACAGGGCACCCATGCTCTCTGGAGAGGCATCTGTTAGAAGGAAATTAGCCCCAGACAGGCACAACCTCTGACCTGACATCTTCGCCTTCGGCTACACATGGAGCCAAGGATTGATTAACTCCAGCAGGGCTCAGGAGCTGTGAGGCCGAGTGCTTCCCCCCTGGAGTTATTTATGCCAGCCCATTAGCTCAGGAAAGGCAGGATTCATAGAGTCGTCGTGGCCTGGGAACTCAGTGAAATTAATATCACAGTGACTAAAATACACACCAAGCCTGTGCCACCTTCGCTTAATCAGGAATGAAGGAGCGTTCCGATTAGAATGGGAGGTTCCTCTTCTCTCACAAGTCCTGCGTCCTTTCCTTCTCCACATCCACATGGCTCCTGTCATCTCAGTACAGCCTTACCACAGCCTGCCACAGTCCCAGCACCAACCTCTCAGCCTCTAGACACACCCCACGTAGGCACCCTCCATGGAGCTGCAGTACCTGGCATGGTACATTAAAAAAAACAAAACTGGCTTTCTGCATAGGTCAATGGCTCCATTTCAGGTGGCACTTTAAGAATGCATGTCTACTAGATATAAAGGATAACCAGACTGCAACCCACAGCTCCAGGGAGGCTAGCTAATAAGGAGGACCCTAGGAAGGACACATGAATTGCCCAGTGATGGAGAAATGAATGAAATCTACATGAGCAAACTGAGGGTGAGGGGAAGTTATGGAGGGCAAAGGACGGGGGATGAGAGCTTAGGGGAGCAGGAGATTCAAGCTGGAACAGGAACAGAGTGGGAGAGCAAGGAAAGAGATACCATGATAAATGAAGACACCACGGGAATAGGGAGAAATAGAGTGCTAAGGATGACTCTGCCATAGACTACTGGCAATAGTCGAGAGGGTGCCTGAGCTGGCATGCTCTGGTGATTGGATGGCTGAATATTCTGTCACCACAGAACCCTCATCCAGTTACTGGTGGAAGCAGATGCAGAGATCCACGGCCGGATCCCAGGCGGAGCTCCAGGAGTCCAATCGATGAGAGAGAAGAGGGATTCTATGAGACCATGACTGGAAAAAGTACAGAGACAACTAGCCAAACTAGTGGAGCCGTATGAACTGTAAACCAATAGCTGAGGAGCCCCCATGGTACTGGACTAGGCCCTCTGGATAAGCGAGACAGTTGTTTAGCTTGAACTGTTTAGGGGCCCCCAGGCAGTGGGATCAAGACCTGTTCCTAGTGCATGAGCTGGCTTTTTGGAACCTAGTGCCTATGGTGAGACACTTTGCGAAGGCTTGGTGCAGGAAGGAGGTGCTTGGACCTGCCTCAACTGAATGTACCAGGCTCTGCTGACTCCCCATGGGAGACCTTGCCTTGGAGGAGGTGGGAATGGGGGGTGGGTTGGGAGGGAAGGCTGGGGGGGCAGGAGGAGGGAAGGCAGGGGAATCTGTGGTTGGTATGTAAAATAAATAGAAAAATGTCTTAATAAAAATTATTTAAAACAAAGAATGCATGTCTAGGGGTAGGAGAGATGGATTTGAGGTGAAGACAATGTATTGCTCTTGCAGAGGACCCAAGTTTGGTTGCATACCCACACCCAGCAGTTCACAACTGCCTGTTACTCTAGCTCCAAGGGGATCTAATTTTTCTGGTTTGCCATGGACACTGCACTCATGTGTACAAGCCCAACCCATACTCATACACATAGTGTTTTTTTTAATACTCTAAAAAATAGAAATTCATTATTTACATTTACCAGTAAGAACATAGCCTGACAGAGTACTCCAACAGAGCCCTGCATCTGGATCTGGAATCCATGCTGTTCTTTTAGGTATTAACATATGTTAATTATTCAAATTAATAGGCTTCACTGTGGCATTTCCATACACACAGATATTATTCATTGATCATGTACCACCACGCTTTGACCCTTTCTCCTCTGTCTCCTCCCAGGCCCCTTCCAAGTCCCCACCAGTTCCTCTTCTACTTTCCCAGCCACTTTTGAAGTATAAATGTCTTAGTCAGAGTTTCTATGGCTGTGACAAAGCACCATGACCAAAAGCAACTTGGGGGAGAAAGAGTTTTGTTTTGTTGTTTTTTTGTTTTTTTACAACTCTCAGGTCACACTCCATCACCAAGGGAAGTTGGGACAAGAACTCAAGGCAAGAACCCAGAAGCAGAAACAGAAACAGACCATGAAGGGACTTTTCTTACTGACTGGCTCCTCCTGGCTCATTCACCTTGCTTTGTTATACCACCCAGAACCACATGCCCAGGGGTGGCATTGCCCTTCTGGTGGGCGAGACCCTTCCACATCAATCACTAATCAAGAAAACACTCTACAGGCGATCTAGATGGAGGCTTTTTTTTTTCAATTAAGATCCCCACTTCCTGGATAATGGGCTTGTGTCAAGTTGACCAAAACCAATGACAACAGTAAGGCTTTGGACTGCTCTGCTAAGGGCTCCCATAGCAGAGGACCACAGACTGGGTGACTTACACAAACAGATACCTGTCCTGCAGCTCCACAGGTGGGAAGTCTAGAATGGAAGTGCCAGGGTGGCCAACTGCTTCCGAGGGATGAAAGGAAGGGGCTTATTTTGAGTCTCTCCATTTGCTGGCCTTCTCTTCATGCCTCTTTTAATTTACATTTATTTATTTGTGTGTGAGTGTGTTGTCTGTGTGTATGTCTGTGCACCACATGCATGCCTGTAGAGGGAAGTTTCTCCAGTCCTGCCTTGCCCAGGAGCCGGAACGAATCTCTCTCACCCGTGTTCCTGCAGCCACTTATAATCACTCAGAAGCTGGCATCTCTCCCGACTCTGCCCTTCTTCCCTCTGTATCTCTGCTTGGATTTTCTGCCTGGCTGTAAGCTTTCTTGCCATAGGCCAAAGTGGCTTTATTTATTATCCAATAGGAGCCACACATATTCACAGCATACAGAAAGACATCCCACAGCACATGCCTACTGCCCACAAAGGCCAGAAGAAGGCATCAGATCCCCTGGAACTAGAGTTACAATGACTGTGAACCACCATGTGGGTGCTGAGGACTGACCGTGGGCTTCTAGAAGAGTAGCCAGTGCTCTCAACTGCTGAGCCATCTCTCCGACTCCTTCTTTAGGTCTCTCCCCATTATTTTTCCACACTACGTAGTGTTTGTGTCCAAATTTTCCCTCTATAGGATGACACCAGCCATACCGGATTAGGGTCCACCCTCAGGTCCTCATTTTAACTTGACAGCACCTGTAAAGACCCGGCCTATGAATGTGGCCACCATGTGAGGCACAGGCAGCTACAACTCCAGCACATATGGGGGTGGGATGACACAGTGAAGACCCTAACAGGTTTTGACTCCCATTCTGGTTGTGTTCCTTGCAAAGACCTTTAATGAAGAGGGGTGAGGCCCAGGACTGGATCCAGACAGCTGGTCCCTGGTCATCACACATCAAAATGGCACTGAAGCCTCAATCCCTGATGCCCACTAAGGAACAAGGAGCTTTGGAGCATACAGCTTTCGGCCGGCAGGTATGAACATACTTCACCCCAATTCAGCTCTGCATTGTCTCCGCCTCAATCTAAAGGGTAGACGTCAGCTCCTCTGGGACCTGCATCATCCACGTTAAGTCCACTCACCTATTCATTTATTTGTTCAGCAACCTTTATTGACCATGAACTGTGTAGTAGGCCTAGTGTGGGGCTCCGTGGATATAGCAGCATAGCAGTGAGTGAGGAATGAACTCTACTTTGAACAGGTTCTCAACTTGCCATGGAAACAAATGGGAGAACTGAGAAATTCAAGGGGGTATCAGAGGGATGGGAAAGGTGAAGCATGAGGAAGGATGGGGTGCAAGTGATGCAGCCTGCCCAGTCCTTGACCACACAAGATTCTTTTCTCATTGCCATGTTAGCTTTTCAGATTTCATGCTGCATGCTGTGAAGGGTCCTCACAATAAGAGGATAATCCAAGTCGTGAAAGACAGTCCAGCATGTCCTGGCACTGGACAGATGGGCACTGGATCTCATGGGAGAGGTGCTGTCTCCCCACCACCAATCATGGTCCTGACATTTGGAGCAAAATGTCAACATACCAGATGCTCTGTGGGCTGCAGACCAGATTTGGAGGGGGAAAAAAATGTAATCTTTAAAGCAAGAAAAGGCAAGCTGTAGGCTGCCACTAAAAGCCAGCCCACTTTGTGTCTTTGCAAATAAAGCTTTATTCAAAGAGCCCAGTCCACTCCTTTGCAATTTGGCTACAGCTTCCTCTGCACTTATTAGACAGCAATCAGTGATTGAGACAGGGATGATGTAGTCTGCAAGCTACAATATGATGTGCAAAGCAGAAGTCCCTGCTTGGGACTTTATCCAGTACCGAGGAAGCCCAGGTGACCACCCAGTGGGGAGGTAGGCCTGGACTTGTCCTGCCTGGGTTCTGGTCTGGTTCTTGTTGCTGGGTGACTATAAGTAAGTCACTTCTCGTATGAGCCTCAGCTGCCCTGTCTGCAAAGGTATAAACATAGCAGCCAGCCTGCTTCCTATCAGGTCTACACTGCTGTGTTTGTGTTGAAGCAGTCCATTATCCTGTCGGGGCCTCTGTGACCCACAGGTGAGCTTTGTGATCTCAAAGAGGCCTTGTAATTACTATTGCAAGCCCAGAGAGGTCACCAGAATTATTAGGGCAACTAAGGCTTCAGCAGGCTGAATATTTCTCCCAGATGGTGCTTTGCCCTCTGCCATTAGAATTAGCTTTGGGTACAAGAACCAGGCATCCTCAGCAACAAAACAGAGGGATGAAACATGGAAGCCAAAGACTCTGCCAGGTAGGTTCAAAGCCCATCTCCCAGGCTTCCAATGGCTGGTGCTCAACCCCACTCTCAAACCGAGACTCCAGGGAAGAAAGAGCCTGGGACTGTGACTAGAGTCCCTGGGGTCCCTCTGTGGGTCTCTCATCATTACTCACACTGCCTGGGTCAGGTTATCAACCTCTTTGTGACTTTTTTCTTACCTTCAAACCTTCACCTGGGGGCCTCAGGAGGACTAAATAAGATGAGAGGTAAAACATGTGTAATGTGTGACACATAGAATATTGCCCAGATTATTACCAGCAATGAGTCTTTACATTTGCCCTGAGAGATGCATCATCATCTCCATTCATATTCTAACTGTCTCATGCAAGAAGAAAATGGAACACTGAGAAGTTTAGTAAATCTCCCCAGGCCAAACAGACTACAAAATGTTGAGATGGGAATAAACTCCAGAATTTCCAACTCCACTTGCTAAGCTTCCCCCCCCCCCCACCCTCCCGCTCTGCCTGCCACCCCTTCCTCTTATTAATTATGCTCTGTGTCTTTCTTCTCCCCAGCTGGATGGCCACCGTGCTCACTAAATACATGCAGGTGGAGAAATGAGCTGTAAGTGTTTAGCTCCTCTTCCCTCGAGAGCATCTCCCTCCCTCTGCTGCCTCCCCATAGCCATCACACCATGTATCCCATCTCCCATCTGTTTGCCCACCTCAGCTTCACCCTTAGCAACCCCAGCACCTTCTTCCAGAGTGCTTGGGTAGGCGTAGGGATTGATGGAACTCGTAGGGAACAGGAGCCAGGAGGAGGGGAGGCACAAGGATTGTGTTCCTGGAAAGTGACAAATGTTTAAGAAAGGCTTTGGTGATGGGATGTGGATGTGTGAGTATCTTTAAGAAGCACTTTTAAGAACAGTTTACTGCCTCTTAGCTGTCTCAGGCTCCCTCTCTAGACTTCTGACTCACTCTGCTTCCTCTACACTGGCCAAGAGCAGCTGTTTTCTGGAGTTTGAGGGAAGCAATAGGAAGTAGAGTAATGGCCACTTGGGAGCTTTGGGGAAGAAGACACAAAGTCCCAGGACTCACGGTGTGTGGTCTATGGCATGTTGATACAGCCAGGCGTCTGCTTGGAGCACTTAGAGGAGACCAGAGTCACAATGAGTAGCAAGTGCTCAGAGAGAGAAGGAATCTGTAGGGTGTGGGGAAGGGGTCCCCGTTTCCTACCACCCTTCTGTCCTACTCAATGAAGACTCAGAGAGGAGTAAGGTGAAGTCTCCAGGTCTGATGGGAAGACAAACATGAAAACAAAGACTCTGAATTTACACGGTAGGAAAGAAACCACCTCAAACTGAAGGTGGAGAGGAGAACACTCCACACACAAGGATCTTCTGCTCCCAGCCATCTCTGCAAAGGCATCTTCAGTATATGTCTGTAAAGTGATGAAAGAATTTGTGGGAACAGGAATAAGAAAAGGAAGGGAAGGAATTAGAAAAGCACAGAAGTAGGTAGAGAGATGGGGAAATTTTTTGTAGGAATTGAGGGGGAAGCATGATCAAAATATAGTGTGTGAAAAAGAACTTTTAAAAAAAATCTAGATTTGGGGGAAATTAAGAGTTGAGTAACACAACTAAATTGTGGTTCCTACATTAATCTTAATGTAAGTAACTTGAGGTTCTTAGGAAATAATATCTCAATGAGAGAGAAGACATTCTGCACAATGTTTGGAACACAGACAAGTGAAGGGTTTAAAAACCTATGGTCAGTGTTTAGCTCCTATCCCTCACCAAGCAAGAGATGACTAGGGAGGTGAGGAAGAGACCATCACACTCAGAACAGGAACTTAATGGTCAGTGGCACAGGTCAGGTCCACTCAGTCTCATTAGTAACCACAGGTGCAGGTCCTTGCCTATTCATTTGTAAATGCTATCACATCAATATCTGAGGAAGTGGAGGTAGGAAGTTCTGTAATCCTCCCATACTTTTAGTGGGCTGTAAATGGGTACCAAGTTTTCATAGGATGACCTATTAGTATCTAATGACATTTTCAATGAGTGACTTAATTCTGTCTTCCTCTTACCTTCTGATCCCTGGCCAGTGGCCCTCTGAGATGGGCACCAGTCACAAAGAAACCCAGAGCCTGGCAACAATATGGGAAACGGATATGATACTGGACATAAACTCTCCTCGGTTGCCACTAATTTATTGGGTTCACAGCCATCATTCATGGGTAAGTTGATGTGCTGCTCTGGTCTCCTGTGTGAAAAGACCTGGTGCCTTCAGATGTTTCCTTGTTGTTGAACATTTAGAATTGCTTCTAATTCTGTGTCATTTCTTCTTGAGGAAGTGTTTTCACCATAGAGCCCTGGCTGCCCCACAACTCTTAACGTAGACTAAGCTGGATGTGAACTTGCAGTGACCTCCCTGTGTCTCTGCTTTCAGGCTTCAGGGATTGTAGGTATGATCCACCACGCAGATGGCTGTTTGGCGCTGTTACAAGCAGTGTGGTAGAAAGCGTGGCTGTGCTCAAAGTCTGCATACACAGACACCCTTAGTTCTGGAATAGATGCCCAAGCATGGGACTGCAAGGGTGAGAAGATTAGAAGGCCAGGAAGAGTAAGGGGGAAAGGCACAGGCACCGGTGCCTGTCACCGCCCTCTCCAGTGATGGTGCTGTGGCCCAGCTTTTAGGAAAGAGATGGGCCCTGATCGTTGCTCCTGATCCACAGCGCCTCCTTCCTTTACATCTGAAGCCCAGGGAACTGCCGCTCATCTTTAAGACCCTTCACCCCTCCCCGTCGCTTCTCAGCTCTCACGCACCTACATTCAGGCCCCCTGTGACTAGCCAGCTGGCATGGATTTTGTCTTCCTGGCAAAACTCTGACACACGGGCGAGTGCCAAGATTTTACTCAGGGGCATGCCGCAATGTGCTGTCTGACTGTGTTGGTAACTTTCCTGTTGCTGGGAATATTATGCCTGACAGAAACCGCTTAAGGGAGGTGTCTTAGTTACTGCTCTATTGCTGTGATGAAATGCCATGATCAAGGCAACTATTAAAAGGAAGCATTTAATTAGGGGCTTGCTTACAGTTCCAGAGGATTAGTCTATTATCATCTCGGCAGGGAGTGTGGCAGCAGGCAGGCAGGCAGGCATGGTGTTGGAGAAGTAGCTAAGAGTTCTCCATCCAGATCCATGGCAGCAGACAGAAGGAGAGAGACCAGGCCTGTCATGGGCTTTTGAAACCTCAAATCACATCCCCAGTGAAACACCTCCTCCAACAAGGCTGCACTCCTAATCCTTCCCAAACAGTTCCACTAACTGGGGACCAAACATTCAAATGTGTGAGCCAATGGCGGCCCTTCTCATTCAAACCAGTGGTGGCCATTCTCATTCAAATCACCAAAGGAGGAAAGATTTCAGTGGTGAGAAGATGAGCTGTGAGGACAGTAAGAGGCTCATTACACAGCTTCAGTCCAGGTACAGAGAAAGCAGTCTGGAGCCAGGACAGGTATAATTCTGAAGGCCCACCTCCAGTCATCTACTCTTTGTGTGGGCATGGAGGACTTGCTAGTTTATGTTTTCTTTTGAGACAGGGTCTCACTATGCAGTCTTGGTTGGCTTAGAACTCACTATGTAGCCCAGGCTGGCCTCAATCTCTCTGAGATCCACCTGAGTGCTGGGATTAAAAGCATGTGTTACCATCACCTACTCATACCAGCCGGCTCACACATACACACACACACACACACACACACACACACACACACACCTCTTAAAGGCTCCACAACCTTCAAATTTAGGGGCTGAGCACTCAAAACATAAGCCTTGTGGGGGATGGTTCAGATTGAAATCACAACACAGACTTAAGCCCATGGCATTGGCCGCTGGACAGAGGGCAGGACCAGAAATATGGGCTAAGGAGGTCCATAGGGTAATGACCTGCATAGGGGTGGTGCTGTGGATGAACAAAATGGCATGGTTTGGAAATGATGAGGGAGGAGTCAGGGACGCAGGCTGGGATTTCTGGTTTTACTAACTGGGTGGTGATGCTGCCTATGGTGGTCTGAATGAGAATGGCTCCTATGGGCTCCTATATTTGAATGCTTAGTCACCAGGGAGCAGAACTGTTCAAGAAGGATAAGGAGGATTAGGAGACATGTCTTTGTTAGAGATCTGTCACTGGGAGCAGGCACTGAGATTTCAAAAGCCCACACCAGGTCGTGTGTGTGTGTGTGTGTGTGTGTGTGTGTGTGTGTGTGTGTGTGTGTGTGTGTGCCTGCTGCCTGTGGATCAGGATGTAAAGCTCTGAGCTGCTATGCCTGTCTGCTTAACAGAATGATGATCATGGACTAACCCTCTGAAACTATAAGTAAGCTGCCAATTAAATGCTTTCTTTTCTAAGAGTTGCCTTGGATATGGTGTCTCTTCATAGCAATAGAACAGTGACTAAGACATGCCATTTCCAAGATGGGATTTCCTTACCCAAGGAGTATGGAGAATAGGAGAGTGCCCGTTCCTAAATATCTTTCTCCTCTGCTCCAGCTCCCAGGGCTGTAGAGAGATGTAAATTGGCACATGACAGCACCACAGGAAACTTTACAGCACTTTTCTCAAAAGAAACAACAGAACGCAGCTAGAAATGACACCCATGGTATTTCTGGAGCCTACTGCACACCTCTGAAGCTCTAAGGACAGGAGCCCCAACACCAGCTAGCTCAGTTGCTTGACATCTCACAGCAGTACCAGCTGCATGCCTACTAGGTATTGGGCCCAGGCTGGGTGTTTCATATACATTCTCCCTGATCTCCAAAACGGAAGTCAGCAATCCTAATTTAATTTTCAGTCACAACTGTGGAAATTCACTTTAGTCTCTCACATGATTGGATCCTGTATTTGTGAAGGCCTGTGCCTGGTGGGACCATTACATCATGTTGACAATATAAATTAGACTGATTAGGGGCTGACAACATCGTTAGGAATGATATACAATTTAGTAGCTGGCATTATTGCCTGTTAAATTTACACATGACAAACTGCCTTCTATCTCTGCCCAGTGATACTTGGGCACCAACCCAAGTCACAGGAAATGCCATAATGTGAACTGAAGACCAATCATTAGCTGTCCCTGGGAGGTCACTCAGCCCTTCCAGCCCTTCTGATAGACTAGCCCTGGGTGAAATGATGAAGGGGAGGAAGTTTATCTTTCCACCCTTGGTACCCAAGGGCATCTCTCAGCTCCCCAGCTAAGAAGTCATCCTAGTGCGTAGAAAAGCTCTGAAAGGCTGGCTTAACTACTTAATAGGTTAGTTAGTCTCTCTGAGCTTCAATTTCTTCCATTTAACAAAAAGGTTAATAAAAGAAAGCAATTTTTTGACTTCTCTGTACTATGGGGAGTTTCTGCAGACTGAATGAGCCAGTGAATAGGAAGCTCCTGGTGTTAGTCAACTCTTCCTGTGTCACAACAGTGACCAGTCTCTGCCCTAGGGAGCTGAGCATTATTTCCCCCATGTCTGTAAGTCAGATGAGCAGTGTCTGATCCAAGCGAAGCTGACTGAACTGTTCTGCTTTGGGCTAAGGCTTGGTCTAGAACGGGTTGTTGACCAAGCCAGGCTCTGTTCAATCCTTCTGTACTTGTTCCTGAGCCTAGCCTAGAGGGAGAAGCAGCAGCCACTGGGGCAGGGGGATCTTCTCAAGGCAATGGCCGAGGCACAAATGGGAAATCTCCACCACACAGATCCCTCCAGGGCCTCCTTCCCATCATGCCTGTTAATTTTGTAGTGGGTCTGATCAAGCCTCAGCCCAGGAGTAAGCAGATAAGTTTGAGGATGATTTAGGAAGGAGAGTGGATATTTTTAACAATGGTCTGCCACACATGGGCTTTACATGTTTAACGAAGGGCCATTTGTGGTGATGTCTTCAGCCTCGCTAAGGATTGAGAAGTCAAACTGTCTTCCCATCTATTGCTTTCACTTGACATCACATTCTTTGGTGGATGGTGATCACCCAGACAACCATCAGCTTGCTGGACTAACTGGCTGCTTGGTCATAACCAGAGGAACCCATGCAGAGTCATGTTAGGTCCTGTCTATCCCATAACAGGTAAAGAAGTAGCCTGTTTCATTGCCTACCTCTTACAAAGTTAACTGTTAGAGGGACTGTTCTGCCTTGTTTCTCATTTGTACCCACTCCACTTCCTGAGGCTGGAAATTATGGAATAACTACCAACCACGGTTTGCATACACCTTTGTTGGTAAGCAAGTGCCTTCAGAGATGGAATCCATTTTGCATTTTCACCACGTTCCCATTCTACAGATAAGGTAACTGAGTCTCAGAGAGTTGCAAATGGTGTTACCTAGGACATATCAGCCTGGAGTAGGGAACCTGGAATTTTGACCATGACCTGCAGATTCTAGAGTTGGGCCTCCTCTCTCCCACTCTGTGGATGGGCTTCCTGCTGACCAGGACCAAATCTTTCTTCTCTCTTGTGGCTTTGCTCGGTTCCACAGCACTCCACCAATGTCACCCCAGCCCCATTGGATGGTCTATCTACCACATCCACAAGGAACTCACTTCTTGCATTTATGTGAACAGAAATCACTCACTAAAATTTAATTTGGTAAATTTCCATCTTTGTAAGCAGCTAATTCAATGAAGGCGAAGCCAGCCAGTCAGCAGTTACTCAAGCTACTTCCCTGCAGCCAGCCCTCCATACTGCCACAAAGGCTCAAGAGTCCTGAGCCACTTTAAATCCACATCCTTTCATTATTATGTCAGGGAAAGCTATTATGTGACTGAAGAAAACACTTCCTGTCTAGAAAAATTAAAGGCCATCATGTACCTCGGATTAGCATTTTCTGCCAGGGATTAGGCAGGGGCTTTTAAGGAGCACACTTTCTGTATTATGTGGTTTGATGATTACCTAACCACATTGGCTGGTGATGACTATTTAATCTAGCCAAGAGCAATGCAATGCAACAGACCCATCCTTATGCTCCACGGATCCCTTCTGAAGTTTCCACTGGGAACTCAGCTCCCAGAATCCACTGGGACAGGAAAGGGGAACAGTGCAGTGCTCTGGACCAGTGCCTGGCACACAGACCATTCAGGAAATACTTCTGGATTTTGTGTGTCTTTGTGGGGGTAGAGGAAAGTTAAAAAGTCTCTGGCAGGTGGATCTCTGTGAGTTCGAGGCCAGCCTGGTCTACAGAGAGAGTTCTAGGACAGCCAGGG